TCTGTGGAAATGAGACATGCAAATGCTTATACAACTGCATGACAAATATCATCCACTTTTCATAAGGTTCACCTTAAACTGACCTTATCACAAACTATGCAAAAATGCCAAAGTCAATGAATCATGAATGAAGGGTCTGGTTTCATTTGGGCCAGCCTGATATTTTTTCTCTGGTTCCAATTTAATCTAAAGGCATTTGGGCCGATCAAGGTAACCATGAAAGGGGAGTCAGTGTGAGAAATTTGGTCACAACACCTGAAAACAGATGCTTCATATAATAAATAGTGTTGATGTTTGTTCTGCTTACCAATAGTAACTCATACATTTACATGGGTTCAGTAAACGAACAGTGATACCTTTGAAGGGGACTGATGTGTGTGCTTTACTCTATCAATGCAAGAAAATTCAGATGAGATATGTAGGCCCATATAAATCTTCATGGAAATGAGACGTGCTAATACAAATACATATTTGTAATTTATGCTTAAGTTTCAAAATAAATAGACCATGGCTGAAAGGGCTGGCCCAAATAATCTCCATGGATAGGAGATGTGCTAATGCTGATACAACTACGCACTGACTTACCACATGTGGTTCCCCTCAAACTGACTTAACTAGAAACTTTAACATTTAAACTAAGAAAAGTTTCAAAGTCAATAGACAATGACTGCAGGGGCAGGCCCAATAATTACCAAGAAATAAGATGTGCAAATGATACTTCAACTGGCTACCAAATATCATTGACATACCATTAGTGGTTACCCACAAACGGACCTAATCACAAATCTCAACAACTTGTTGACGCCGCTGCCACAGGAAACATCATGCCTTAAGTCTTGCCTTCATGATCTTGTCCAGGCAAGACAATAAACTACTGTAAACCAACTAATTTTCGCGAGCGATTAATTTTCGCGAGTAGAAAAATAACGCGAATATAAATCGTTGCGAAAATGTAAAACTTGGGACTTTTCCTAATTTATCTACATCAAGTAAATTTGAGAATCGCGAAATTAAATCGCTGCGAAATGGGCCGAACGTGAAATAAAGTATCCGTGAAATAAGTTGGTTTACAGTATATGCTAGATACAATATAGAGAACAGAAATTGATTGATGGTTGGTGTTTGACGCTACTTTCAACACTCTTGCCTATCTATTTTTTACATGTTATGTTAATCAATAGACAAGAGCACATACAAAATGTAAATCAACTTGAATTTAGAAAAAAGTTGTGAATTTGTGAATACATTAAGCAGAAGCTATCAAAGATCTGTATTATCAAAGTTTTAGGAAAGCTAGAAAGAGGCTTTTTACATTTTGTTGTTCAATTCATATAGATATCTACATTTTTTAATATTATGTTTTACATAATAACAGTGAAAATACACTGATTACTGTATAGTAGTTTATTATTTTTCCTGAGAATGAAAATTGGGGATTTCTTGAGCCAATCCTGTTGGTGAGTTTTAGTTGTGTTTTTCTTGTCCCTTATGCTGTTGTTCCTTCAAGATCAAACTTATTTGAGGGGATAATTATCGGATCTTTTCTTAACCATTAAATTAGCCAAATGAAAATCTCGAAAATTTCCTACTGTTCAGTATATAAACATTTACTTTCAAAAACTTTGAAAAATATATAAATATTTTCATGATTTTTCTGATATTATGTTGTACATTCTATTATGAAAGAAGTATTATTTGAAATATTCTTCAAAACATCTGAAAAATAAAAACAAATTATTCACTTTTGATTTAAATCAAACAAGCATATTTTCCATTAATATCATGTAAATTAACAAATTCATATAATTAATACAAAGCAAAATAACAAGGATATGCAGGGAAACATGAACAACAAAATATCTGATAATTCATCACATGAAATGTAAAAAAAACTTAACAAAAAACAAACAATATACAGATAGCAAAGCTGTTGAAATGGGTAGGTTACTGTTACTAATGCAAATGAATATCAAAACAATTATCATTTTTGGCTACTTAAAAAAACAAATCAGCCATACTTCATACATGAGCATCTTGTTAAGTTACACAAAATTTATCTTTGCCGTCACTTTGATCAATTTGAAATAACACAAAAATGCAAGAAAACTCGCATTAATTTAAGAAGAAGTTATACATTGTAAGCATCCCCTTAAACTAAGTATATCCTTGAACTAAAGATTTCCTTAAATAAGAAGTTTTTTTATTTTTAAGAAAAAAAAAACATATTTTACAGATGACTGTAGCCAAATTATGAAAGAGCTCTAAAACCACCTAAGATTTTCATTTTAAAAGAAGTGCAAAAAATGCCAAAGAATTAAAATTATGACAATATAAAAGAAAGGCATACTAGATATTTTTATCTTTCGAAGAACAAAATTAAAAAAATATTACCCTAAAGTGCTTAAGAGTTGGTAGTACATGTATTACAGGTATGTTGGACTCTGTTAGATAATATTTAGCTTAAAATAATATTTACTTAAAAATAAATATTCTATCTCTTATTTTTTCACTTGAGGCAACATAGATTGTCAAACATAAATGAGTTTTTGAAGATTTAAATGTTCATTCTCAATTTTATATCTGTAAAAAAAAAAAAAAAAAAAAAAAATAAAGATGTATAGTCAAAATCACTTATTATTCTAGTATCTGCAAAAAGTGGACCTTTTTTATGACAACGTGCAGCATTTTTAGCGGTCAAGATAACAAAACTCAAGAATTACAATGATATTTGTCATCTTTATTGAATTTTAACCAATAGAGAGGTGATAACAGGCAAACCATATATGATGTTCTGTACTAAGCCATTTGTTTTCCCTCGGGAATAAATAGGGAAAAATATTTTTTCCCTACTTTAACCAAAAAAAATACCGTAATAGCATACAGTAACAAAATTAAAAAAAATCAATATAAATGGTTTTTATTGTGCTAATTTTCAATAGAAACAAACCTTTTTTTCACTTTCCTTCTGAAACAAATATCTGTTTTAAAGAATTAAGAATCAAACAGTTTATCAAAAAAAAAAAAAAAAAACCCATCCCCTCAACCTAGAAGAATGGTTGATGGCTTTTTCTCCAATTAGGTTAATCTTTACAAATGTATAAGAGTTATAGATGCCATTGCACATAAAATATTGCTTCAACATAGAGGGTTGATGAAACATTTAAAGTTTTAAATCCTATGAAAAACAAAATCATAACATTTACTGTAAAAATATATTTTTCATATATGCACATGCATCATATGAAAATTAAAAATGTCTCCACTGAATCATGTAGATTGGCCACCTTTAAAAAAATATATAATGCTACAAAAAGGAAACCCTGAGAGATTTTGTTTTCCTAATGTCAAAACGAACAGCAATCTGGATTTTGGTTACATTTATAAGCGTTATTGTTCAAGCAATTACTCTTGAACAGCATAAATGGAAAATTGTCAAAATCAAAATTGACCTGAATTTTGTCATTAGCAACATGTTTGAAAAGAATTGGTTAAATAGTACATCTCAATGTAAGTATAAGAGCAATAAGTTCAATAAAGTTTTGAATGGACAGTCATATTGTAATAATACCTCCATGTTTTAATGGTTGGTAGGTAGGTATGTAAACACTAAGGTTATTAGAATGGTACATTCTGTGTATTTCAGTATAATGGTTGGTAGGTTGGTATTTAGACACTAAGGTTATTAGAATGGTACATTCTGTGTATTTCAGTATAATGGTTGGTAGGTTGGTATGTAAACACTAAGGTTATTAGAATGGTACATTCTGTGTATTTCAGTATAATGGTTGGTAGGTTGGTATGTAAACACTAAGGTTATTAGAATGGTACATTCTGTGTATTTCAGTATAATGGTTGGTAGGTTGGTATTTAGACACTAAGGTTATTAGAATGGTACATTCTGTGTATTTCAGTATAATGGTTGGCAGGTTGGTATGAAGACACTAAGGTTTATTAGAATGGCATGCCTACAAGTACATAATTTGGATTGTAGGATGGTAATTTAGTCTGGAGTCTTGTATTTTAATTAAGTTGCCTGATATACAGGTTGTCAGGTAGATCAATCAGCAAATAGATAATTAATCATGTATGATTAAATTATAATCAGGTAATCAGCGGGTATGCAATGAAGCTTGTACTATGGTTTTTAGTCACTCGGTAGGTAGTTGAGCAGGTAGGCAATAGGGCATGATTGTGTTTTTTTAATAATTTTTCTGGCCTGTTTCTTTACAAGCTGGGGATTTCAAATGGCACCATAAAAACATGCTGACTAATTATAAATTCTGTCTAGCCAATTTGGTTAGAATTTCACATAAATTTTACAGCTTATTTAAACCATAAATATAAAAAATGATTTACTAAATAGGATATAATAGTAAAATGTCATTGATATAACACAGCGACCCCCTGAGAAATGGACGCATATAAAGAACTTAAACAATATCGCTTAGGTGATAAAACATATGTTATGATAAATGAATTGTGTTGTATTATACCTAGGAAAGGTATGACCTAATGAAAGTGTGGTGAAGTATAAAATATAAGAGATTTTAACCTTACTTCTAGTCTAATCAAAATCACTCATTTATAAACATAGGTCAAAAAAAGAACCTCCTTTTCAGTTGAAAATACTATTCATTAAAAATTCTAGTGCTGTGATTAAAGGTATAGAAAATTAGTAGAGGGTTTCGTGAATGCTATGTGTTGCCTTTCGATTGCTGCTGTCAGTGTAAAAATGTAATTTTGATTGACAAAAACTAAGTCCATTTTTCAATAAAATACAGAAAAAAAAATAAAACCTTTTTCCACAGATGCCATTTCTTTATCTTGAAGAGAAGCTTATTTCCAAGTTTTGAAACATTCCATGATGGTTTTACGAAGTTAGCCATGTCTAAAAAATGTAATCCTAGACTGTATGTAATAGTAAAATATTGAAAAATTAAAAAAAAAATGATTCAGACATTATCTTTTTATCATTAAAAAGCTTTTGCCCAAGTTTCTTAAAAATCTATGAAGGTTTGAAAAAGTTATTTGATGTCTAAAAAAAAAATCTGAACTGTGAAAAATACTAAGTCCGTTTATCAGAAAAACAAGGAAAAATGAAAGACAATTTTATTCTGGATGCTATCTTTTGGTTATTAAAAAATCTTTTGTCCAAGTTTCATTATTTTCTAAGAAAGTTTGACAAAGTTATTGATGTTTGAAAAACTTTCACCTTAGACTATATCTTTCTGTTAACTGCGAAATAACTGAGTCCATTTATCAGTTGAACACAGAAAAATGAAAAAAAAATGAAACCGTCTTTTTATCATAAAAAAGCTTCTGTCCAAGTTTCAATAAATTCCAAGGAGGCTTGACAAAGTAATTGATGTTTGAAATACATAAATCATAGACTGCACTTAAATGTTGACGCCATCTATATATTGAAGGATCACTATGTCTTGCTTTCGTGCCAAAATGTAATACTTGCAACAAAAATAAATTTGCATACGGTTACTGATAAATAAAAATGTATAAACAACATAAAAAAGGTACATAAATTATGGTGCTGTTCTTTAGTAGTTAAGACTGTTTATGTTTAATTCCATTAGCAACATTTCCATAAGTGACTGTTCCATTAGTGACTGTTCCGTTTGACTTTGGTTTAGATTTCTTGTAAGTCTGTACATAGAAGTTAGCAAACATAACCATGAAGACAACAGCATACAGTCCAATCAAGTAAACAAAAAACTTAGGATAATCACAGTCAATAAATAGAAGTTGTACTGAATGTATAGTCACCAATATAAACTGTGTCTGCAAAATAAAGTTAACATATATTACTTTTCAATTCAATTCTTTTAATACTTTAATCAAATAATGCTCATCAGCACAATGACATGTACAATATATATGCAGATAAAATTACTGATAAATAAATACATAATACATAACTGATAAATGAATACATCCGAGAAGAATAATGATCTATATTAAGTATTGGATACTAACAAGTCTGTTCTATGTTTAAATGCATGGAAAAGAAATTTACATTTATGTCTTTTACATTTTCTGAGCTCAATAACAGTACAAGCTGAAATGACAATGGACACATATAATAATATGGCTTAATTTAATGTACTGTCTCATTTATTGCATTATAACAATCATACTGTAAAATGAAATGAAATTCGTCCTCTATTGTATTTAAAGTACAGAAAGTGCATTTACTTATAATATTACCAAGACAGACTCACTTATACGCATGTCAAAGAATGATAATAACAAATTATGTATGTACCCAACAGTATTTTTCCACTACAGTTAGATGTACATGAAAGAAACTTATTTATCCTGCCTCTCCCCTTTATCTTCCTTCTGTTTCATTCTAATCAAGCAAGTGAAACTCAAACAACTATCTTAAATCCCTTTTCCCCCAAATCTATTGACATATTGACCCAAAAATCAATAGCCCTTCCCTATATCCATCTGTTTAAGTTTCATTTCAATCATGCAAATTAAATGCAAACACATGAGAAAAACATGATAAAGTTATATGCTTTGTTCTAGACCGACATGTTATGCCAAATTTTAAACCTGCTAGTTCACAAGGTAACAATCTGCAGGAAAACACGTCACCTTACCATGATACATTATTCAGATTCTGCACCAATCAGTCTTTGCTCATACTTTTAAATGCTGTGTGCAAAGCGGAAAGGGAACAAATACCTGTTTGCTTTGGCTTAACCCTGCTGGGCTTGGAACCTACAACCTCACACACTTGTGGCGAGGATGTTACCAATGAGGCAGTTCATAACATGAGGAAAAAATTCTTTTAAATTTTCAGGGTTAAACTTCAAGCCCCAGTCCAGTTTTCTCACCATTGGAAAGCTTTATCACAAGAACAGAATCTTTCAATGTTGGAGTAAAAAAATAAATTGATAACAAAGGTCCAAATTAAAATTTTGTCAACATGATATGGACTAAATGATTTTGTTGGTACTAGTTTGAATAAGCTTACATAACTGAATGAGAAGATGAAGACCAAGAGTTTTAAGGTCACTGCTTATAGAAATTTCCACCTCTGTGGTTAGCTAAGTCATTACACTGCATAACACAGCTGAACAAAATACATCAGATTTACAGAAAACCCTTTACTTTGTGGTGTACATATTTAAGTACATGTGTATCAGTAAACTATATACTTACAACTTACAGGTAATCCTTTACTTTGTGGTGTACATATACAAGTACATGTGTATCAGTAAACTATAAACTTACAATTTACAGGTAATCCTTTACTTTGTGGTGTACATATATAAGTACATGTGTATCAGTAAACTATATACTTACAACTTACAGGTAATCTTTTACTTTGTGGTGGACATATATAAGTACATGTGTATCAGTAAACTATATACTTACAATTTACAGGTAATCCTTTACTTTGTGGTGTACACATTTAAGTACATGTGTATCAGTAAACTATATACTTACAATTTACAGGTAATCTTTTACTTTGTGGTGTACATATTTAAGTACATGTGTATCAGTAAACTATATACTTACAATTTACAGGTAATCCTTTACTTTGTGGTGTACATATATAAGTACATGTGTATCAGTAAACTATATACTTACAATTTGCATACTTGTCATATATTTTTTCCACCATAGATATTTTTGATACTGTGGACCAAGTGCTGCTAAACCGTAGTATGTATACATAACTAGATGTATAAAGGAATTCAACATACTATGAAAGGTACCAAATCCTCCTGGAGAGAAATACAAAAAATAACAAATGCAAAGAGTTTTATACAAGATGGTTGTGCCACAAAACTATATTCAAAAGAAATGCATTTTTTCTCAATGTTTCATCTTATTAAGGCACATCAATGTTAATTCGTGATAATGTTGCAGCCAGTATTCATGTTATATTGAGATACATGTATCTGTATACAGGAACATGCACACAAGAACACACACTGACATTACATTATTTCTAACATATGTGTGTATCAATAGCCATCTGTATCTGTATACAGGAACACACACTGATAGAGACATTACATTATTTCTAACACATGTCATCTGATGCAGCATCCCCTGGATAGTAATCTTATGAAATGACCTGTGTGTATTAATAGCCATCTGTATCTGTATACAGGAACACACACTGATAGAGGCATTACATTATTTCTAACATATGTCATCTGATGCAGCATCCCCTGGATAGTAATCTAATGAAATGACCTGTGTGTATTAATAGCCATCTGATGCAGCATCCCCTTGATAGTAATCTAATGAAATGACCTGTGTGTATTAATAGCCGTCTGAGGCAGCATCCCCTGGATAGTAAGCTAATGACCTGTGGGTATTAATAGCCATCTGTGTCTTTGAATCTCACAGGTTAATCTTCGACATTTCAATAGAAAACAATTATACAAGAACTTAAAGTGAGCAAGCTGACCCTGTCCCCAAATAAATTATGATTTTTAACATTAAAATTGTCTAATGCCAATCTATTCTAAGTATGACCTTGACCTTAGACCATATGACCTAAAAATCAATAGGGATCTTTCTATTCGTCATCTTAATATATCAAACACATATCCATATAAGATTGCAGTCCTATGTAATACATCGTGAAACCATTTTTCAAATTGTAGTATTTAAAATCTATTGACCTTGACCTTAGACATAGAGACCTCAAAATCAATATGGATCTTACTCTCATGAAATTTGATGATATATCCCAGTAGAGATGAAATCACATATGTAGTATTTGATTTAGAATTGGGGAAACTCTTTTTGGCACAAATTGTCTATTTTTAGAAATTTTTATCTTGACCTTAGACATAATAAACCAGAATCAATAGGGATATATGTCTCACTATATGTGACCATATATTAAGTGAGTTTGTAATTCCATATGCACTAGATGATTAAGCATCTACAAACAAACCACTGTTCTGCACAAATTTCAGTCTATCTTTAGTAACTATGACCTTGACCTACAACAAAGTAACCTCAAAATCAATAGGGATTACTCTCTCATAATATAAACAATATTCCAAGAAATATTTCAGTCTGATATAAAGTATCTGAGTTAGCATCTGAAAATCACATTTTTTGGACAAGGGAGTAGGGGCAATAAGGCCCTTATTTGGCCCAAATATTAGTGCAAATTGAAAAGTAACCATACACATTCATAACTTTGTCCAAACTACACTAAGGTTCAAGGTGTTCAGAAAATAAAAACAAATTTCACATTTTAACAAGTTACTATGGCAACAAACTATGACAAAATGTGTATATTTTTGTAAAATTTCAAGATTTTCCTTGTTTTTCGTCAACCTTTAGGTATATATTAGATTGGAAAAGTATGTGTGCACAACCTTACAATTTTCTTTATTTTTGTGAAATTGGTGCATTTTATGATGTAATTGTGATGTCATAATATCAAAAATCTTATGTAATCTTATATTTCTTTAATTTATGCATTTCCAAATATTATGTGCAAATTTGAAATAGTTATCAAAAACTTTATTTTCTTGGGCCAAAATAGGGGCCTTAATGAATTTTGACTTTGACCTTTGAGGTGGTTATCTTGCTCTCATTAAATATGACCATGTATCCAAGTAAGGTTGCAATGAGAAATAAAGTATAGAGCTAGCATTTTGGAAATGAAAATATTTGAAGGACTGACTGACTGTCTATTAGACGGTCAAAAATATTTACCGTACCCTCCCAGATAGGGGAATGGAAAAGTAACAATGAAAAATTCTACAGGAAATACCTGACATACTAAAGCCCTTTTGGCCATTAGGATAAAAACAGTTTACACACTAAATGTCTAGCCTTCCACAATAATGGACTTTTCAAATGAGGTCAACACATTTGTCAATAAAATCTGTAATGTAAAAATGTGGATGCACTGTTTTGTACATGAAATTCACCTGCAGCATATTTGACACCTTTCATGTTTAATTTTTAGCTACATACATATCCACAAACTAAAATTACCACTGGAAAGTGAGATAAAGGCCATATGACAGATGTGGGATAGACATATAACGTCACAGTACCAAAATCGCACCAAGAACCCAAATTGCACCATTTAGCAATAAAGAGCTGTGCCATGAGCGCATGATACGGCCGTCGCTTTTTCAATGAATAAAGTACCATAAGTCCTAAATTTCATGTCAGAAATTTATAAAAAAAACTAAAGGGAGGTTTTTTTATTAGATATAAACCAGTCACTAAAGTTTCATGAAAACTGCTCAAAGCACTTTTGAGTTATTGTCAGAAAACTGGAAAATCCCCCCTTTTTTTATGAATAAAACCCATAACTCGGAAATATAAAATCTAAAATTTATAAAAATCGAAAGGGAGCTTACGTCAAAAGATATAAACAATTCACAAAAGTTTCATGTAAATTGGTTAAAGCATTTTTGAATGATTGTCTGACATGTTGACAACAGACGCACATATGGTATACCATGACACGTCCTGTAAAAGGGCATATAAAAATAGCAGCGGAAATCATACCTGTTTTCTTAGAGACTAAACAATTTGTATTTTTATGATTTGACATAATTATGCACATCCTTCAACATAACTAGATATATTTAGATATACCCAAAACGTTCACAGTATATATCAACAGACGAAGTAATCACTGGAAAAAATTAAATCTACAGAAACGTCATCATGCGACGTCCACAAAAAGTCAATATTTTAAAATAAGCAATTAAAAAATGTTTCAGTCCTCCATTTCTTAAACAAGAATAGTAAGCATGGACTATTGTCAAATTATTCTAAATAGTTGGAGAAATAAATCAAAACATCAGTTATTCGATTTTTAAGGATGTGAATTTAAGCGTGGATGCAATTTGGGTACTCCTCATTACAGAATCATGGATCATTTTTCTATGATTCAAGATGGATTCAAAATTAAATTGGTGAAACTATATAGTAAATAAGGATACATTTACAAAATAGACACATAATGGAAACTTTTGTCTGGATCACAAATAAACGTAGGTGAAAACACTGTCAAAATAGGTGCAATTTGTGTACCATCCCGTTTCCTCTCCCAACCATATTTTATCCTTTTAAATATTGTTGATCTATCAAATATAGTAACTGAATAACAATCTCATTCTGAAAACTAAACCTAATCTCTGAATCATAAAATTGAGGTCAAGGCCAAATGACAAATGTCAGATGGACATATATTCCTAGCAAATCAAACAAAACAACTAATGTACAATATAAATATATGTTGATCTGTCACACAGTGATCTGTCATTTATAGTTACTGAAGAACACACCTTATCTTGAAAACTGAACATGAGATTGGGTTCAAGGTTTAATGGAATATGTCAGAAAGAAATATATATACTCCTCACAACCATTCCACCTACCAAATATTGTTAACCTTCAGTGTAAAGTTACTTAGGAACAGACCTCAACCTGGAAACTTTACCCGACTACTGGATTGACAGGAGTGTTAAATTTAGGCAAAGTCAATAGGACAAATGTTAGATAGCGAATACTCCTAACTAACAATTTAGACCATACATTTATTGTCATGACCATATGCGTATATACTCATATGGTCCGACCGTATGCTTATGGTTCGGGTACATTGAAAATTACTTTTACTGTAAGTTGCATAAGGTATGACCCTTCAGAGTTTACAAAAATTAGAATTTCTAACTAAAATGAAATTTTGACTCTAAATTCAATATATTTAATCATATACATCATTGTTACATGATTTATGAAATGAAGTGAATTTTACTCACAAGTTAAAATATAGTAAACACATTTTTACATGGTCATTATTGATTTTTTCCTTACGAAACATAATTTGTTGTCTTAGACTTTTGAAAATAACAGATATGTCTAGACGTCAACTGTTTTACTCACAGGCACTTGGGGCATTGAACCCTCTTTTTCTTTTTCTAAATAATTTTTTGGTGTTTAAATTTGTCTTTAGTTAATTCCAATTTCCTAAAAATATCAAATTATATGTAGTTGTATAATGTTCGTCTGTTTTACATTAACAGTAGTTTAAACATGCTGTCTTTCTATTCTTATGTAGAAAATTAAAAAAAGAGGGGCAACAGGTATAAACAGCTGTTATTGTATGGTCGTATGAATAGGATAAAAAAACACATCAACTTAGTAAAAATAAGTAGAAATTACAAGAAATTTATAAACAAGAGTGCACACGCTGAAATGTCTCGCCTGTTATACTTATCACTGAATTCTGTTGAAAGTCTGTTACATGAAGGTTCAAGCATCACATAAACTTAACATTATCAATGTTCTATGATAATGAGGTCATGGTCAGATGAACCAAATCCAGACATCATTCCATACACCAAATATAGATGACCTGATAAACTGATAAACTGGCAAAATTACGAAAACATATCATTGACCAATGAACCATGAAAATGAGGTCAAGATCAGATAACATCTGTAAGACCGACATGTACACTTTACCATTATTCCTTACACCAAATATAGATGACCCATTACTAGGTATTAGTATTTGAAAAACAGGCCAAAACACAAAAACCTAACATTGACCAATGAACCATGAAAATGAGGTCAAGGTCAGATAATACTAGCTAGACCGACATGTACACCTTACAATCATTCCATACACCAAATATAGTTGACCTATTGCTTATAGCACTTGAAAAACAGACCAAAACACAAAAATTTAACATTGACCAATGAATATGAGGACACGGTGAGATGAAACCTACCAGACTGACGTGTACCCCTTACAATCATTCCATACACTGCATATAGTTGACCTACTGCTTATATTATCTGAGAAACAGAATTATTACATTGGTTGCAATGAATTACATTGATTTCCCATTGTAATAAAAACCGATAATTTCACATGTGAAATAAACGTGGTTATTTCACTCCTCTGACGTCATACAACAATAGGCGTTGTCAAGACGTCGATAACGTCGGATCAAAACAAATTGTGAATGCGTAGAAAAAAGATATAGTTCCTTACATTTTCTACATTAATTTCATTAAAAAAAGCCATTTCCCAATGTAATAAAAAGATAACTAATCAAAGAATTCAAATATCGAAAAATATTCAACTCGTGACCGAACAACACTGATAATTAACTCATGCGCTACGCGCATTCGTGAATTAATGTGTTGTTCGGTCACTCGTTGAATATTTTTCTCTATTTGAATTCTTCGATTAGTTATTCTATAACTAATCACATAACTTTCACCTTGATCACTGATCCACGCAATGACGTCGAGGTCAGGTGAACCCTGTCTGATGGACATGTAGGCCTTGCAAGGAACCCATATAATAAGTTATCCTAATACTCATAATAAGGGAGAAATTCACATGACAAAAAAAAACAGTTGCTGAACCACGAAAATGAGGTCAAGGACAATGGACATATGACAGACAGAAACTTCTTAACATAAGGTATCTGCATACAAGGTATGAAGCATCCAGGTCGTCTACCTTCTGAAATATAAAGCTTTATACAAGTAGTTTACATTGCCGCCAAATAGTATTACCAATGTGTCGCAGATGAGACAAAACTATATTAGTCAGAACACCACAAAAGGCCCTCCTCGCAAAAAAAGCTTGAAGTAATCTCAGCAAAAATCAGCGGAGCGGGACGAAACATAAACTGGATAAGTAAGTCATCATAGTAGTCTCACATGCTAAAAATTAGCTCAATATGTGGAGGCGTTTAGAAAAAGTCCTTATAACTGTTATTTCAAGAAATTTTCAAAGTATAAAGCCTGCAATTTTTGGCAAAAATCAGCAGAGCCAAACCAAATGTAAACTCGATCTGTAACTCATCACAGTAGACTCACATACTAAAAATCAGCTCAATATGTAAAAGCGTTTTGAAAAAAAAGTCCTTATAACTGTTATTTTCAAGAAACTTTCAGATATAAGCGTGTAATTTTTGGAAATCAAAGCATCCCTAGATGTTGTGATCCAGCCATATTCATAGCTAGTCTGATATTCTTTCTGACAATACTTTTTTCAATATTTTTCACTCTTTTCATTTCTAATCTTACTGTAAAATTTCTATGTTATTGTCCAAAGGTAGGGAATTTCACAATATTGATGTAAATATTGATATATATATATATTGATATTTCAATTTTAGACTCTGTCAGACTTTTTTTTTATTAATATTTGCAATTTAATGGTATTGACAAGAATGGAAAGGGAAATCGTCAAACAATATATTTTTTTATATGCCATTTATAATAACTGGCTTAATAATTTCCAGAAAGAGGCCTTGGAAATGTACTTTCTGAACAACAAAAATGCTGAGATATAATAGCAATATAATGGGATATAAATGGAGATCAAACAAATAAATTTTATTGCAGAAAATGCTCAGGTAGGAGTTCTGCAATTTTGTTTATTGTTTCAACCAAATTTTTGATAATTGTAACTAATTAATTAGAACTTGATTATTAACCTATGTCAGATGATAATGACACTGATTTTACAAGTGAAATAAAATTTGCTTGCATTTTTTATACATATTTTTATTCGTTTTTTGTCTTTTCTTTGAGAAAAAAAACACATCTGATTAATTATTAAGCTAGCTAGCAAAATTAACAGAATAATTTAATGTAGTGTAGATCAAAATAAATAATAATACATTTGTATGTTTACTATTGAGGTCTATTTAATTATGTAACAGGTCATGAGATATTAACTGTGGTGAATTAAGACTGGGGTTGTTTCCAATTAATACCTACACCTTTGAGTGTAATTATTTGATAATCATGACAGTTTATAATCATACTGACTCTTACTTGCCTATGGAAAGAGTTGGAGTAATACCATTTCAAAAAAGTGTGGGAATCAACTTACTAATAGATATATTAATACACATGTTGACCTACATTTCATTGAACAACAACTTACACAAGCATAAGATACTAATATAATACTTTCAAAATTCTTATCAACTGATTCAATTGATGTACAAATACTTTTTCAAATTAATTCATAAATAGTAAATCATTATAAATTTTGATTTACAAAGGAACTATATGCAAGTGTACATCTAAAATAAATGGGTTGTTCAACCAATCTTTTCTTAATTTAAGTGCAAATAACATGTCAAAAGTTTGCAGTTGATGATTAAAATGGTGTAGAAAGTTTCTGCAAGTCATAAAAACACATAATTAGTTTCATGATATGTCTTCAACTTAGTATTCTGCACCATCTCCAAAACCAGAGTGATCGCATAGATCCAGCATGGCTGAATCAAAAATCAGCGGAGCCGAACCAACAGATCCACCAAGATTTAGACAATTTGTCAAAGATGAAGGATTTTATTTACTAAATGATGCCGATTTTGGTTTGGATAACAAACTGTGCCTTCCTGTGAAGGAAGTTAGAATTTATACTAAAAATACCTTTGTGGTCTAACTCATATGGTCTGGCTAGTAAATAACCATAAGTGTATGGTCATGACCATTTCCACAATACTTTATATTTACTTACTTGTTAAGTTTTGTTGTCTATACTGTATAAGCAATTTTGATGACTTTAAAATTTTAATGAGAGGATTATAATATTATATAAGGAACCCTACTTTAATTTTGCGTTTCAAGACTACATAAAAGCAGAAATTCTTCTTAAAAGAATATATAAGTTATAGACAAGTAATTTAATATTTGACTAACCTGCAACAAATTTAACTCCAAACCACCATGAAAAAGGCATTATACTATGATGAAGGACATGGAGGAAAGATACTTGGTTGAATTTCTTCCTCATTATAAAAAATATCTGTCAAAATAATAATTACACATTATATTGTTATGTTTTGGAAAAAAAAACAACATTAGGTTCAAATGATCCAGTAAAGTAGATCTTATAAACTTTAATAGAGTTTATGAAAACATGTATACATCTAAATGTACATGATTGCTGCACTGAGGTGAAATACCTGCGCTATTGTGTACATGAGAAATAAAATTGTAAGTACAGTTTAGTGTTGAACAACAGAAACATAAATTACATTATTAAGTGTATTTTGAGCTTTTGTATTTATTGCTGTAATTAGAATAGAATAAAAATAAAAAGTCCAAAAATAGTAAAAGTCACATATTTCCTGTTTCTACCTTATTTTTCAAGGAAGCATCTATACTCTAAAACAACCCAGAGAGGCATCTATACTCTAAAACAGCCCAAAGAGGCATTTATACTCTAAAACAACCCAGAGAGGCATCTATACTCTAAAACAACCCAGAGAGGCATCTATACTCTAAAACAACCCAGAGATGCATCTATACTTTAAAACAACCCAGAGAGGCATCTATACTCTAAAACAAACCAGAGAGGCATCTATACTCTAAACAATCCAGAGAGGCATCTATACTCTAAAACAACCCAGAGAGTCATCTATACTGTAAAACAACCCAGAGAGGCACCTATACTGTAAAACAACCCAGAGAGGCATCTATACTCTAAAACAACCCAGAGAGGCATCTATACTCTTAAACAACCCAGAGAGGCATCTATACTGTAAAACAACCCAGAGAGGCATCTATACTCTAAAACAACCCAGATAGGCATCTATACTCTAAAATAACCCAGAGATGCATCTATACTCTAAAACAACCCAGAGATGCATCTATACTCTAAAACAACCCAGGAATGCATCTTTACACTAAATTATATGATTGTAGGTTACTTAGTATTTTTTATCTAAGCTTGGAAGTATAATTTAATGAAGTTTACAAATTTTATAAAAGCCACTTAACCATGAGTTATGGCAAATGATCAGTCTCGCTAAGATGCATCTGCATACTAAATTATGTTGGGGATTAGTGTCTGAGAAATTGCTGTACTAAGTGCTAGAATCTTCAAATAGTCTCCCTCAACTCTTTTAAGTCAAAATAAATACAGTAAAGTATTCAGATAGATTTAGCAATATTGCAAAGTGAAGTTTAAGTAACCATACATGTTTAACCAGGCCACATTCTGTACGTGTCTGTCCAAAGTCGGGAGCCTGTAATTCAGAGGTTGTTGTTTGTTGCTGTAAATTATATTTTTTTTATTTATTGTTTTGTACATAAATCAAGCATTTAGTTATCTGGTTTGAATTGTTTTACATTTGTCATTTTGGGGCCTTTTATAGCTTGCTATGCAGTATGGGTTTTGCTCGTTGTTGAAGGTCGTACGGTAACCTGTAGTTGATTACTTCTACGTCATTTGGTCTCTCGTGGAGAGTTGTCTCATTGGTAATCATACCACATCTTCTTATTTTCATATACTATTAGAAATATCATAAAATCACTTACTGTATCCAGGAGTTCAATGAACTTTGAAATATAAAACCACCAGCAAACATTAAGCATCTGCAAAAAGAAAATAAATCATACAACCATTTAACAAGAGGCTATATTTAATCTGACATCAATAATGTTTCTGTGTTTGATATATAATGGATAATATCGATATACACTTTCTATATTTTATGAAAATATGCAGTGAAACAGACGATATTGCCCTCAACTTCAAAATAGCAATGATCTAATTTGCTTATGAATTACATGAAATGTTCAATACGAGTATTAACATGATTAATCAATTAAAAACAAATCATGATCTTTTCTTATTACTTAAATATCATTAATAACACAAAAAAAAAGAAAAAAAAAGGAAAAGCTGAAACAGATGTTTGAACTACGTTTACAAGTGTTACTCTCAAAGTTAACTCTTCTACACATCCTAACTTAGCAGCTACCCACTTACACTGTACAAACATCATTTTTAAATATATAACGGTTCAACCAATATGTCTGTATTGTACCGTATGATATTGACGTATATGTAAAATCAATTATCATCTGATTGGTAGCCAGGAGGTTTTGTCAATCTGTTCATGAACAGTGACACATAATAAACTTTAAGGAGGGAGTTTGAACCCTAGTCACGACAAATTCAAGATAAATCGATGATAACCAAGAGGTTTTGGATACTATTTGACACCAATTTTATGTACATTCAATACAAATGTTCATCCATTTTCTCCATACTCCTTCAATGACTTTTCAGAAAATGAAAAAGATAATTGCATAACTCTGGGAAGACTTTGACATCATACATTTACTGCAACTTGACAATAAGGTACCATAAACAGAGACTAATTACCATAAAGCTAGATTAGAAATAAATTTAAATAATTAAAAAATGTATAATAATCTACAGGCTGATATCCTAAACTACTTTCTCTTAATGCTTGTGGTGACCTTGAATAATCCACAGGCTGACACCCCAATCTACTTACCCTTAATACTTGTGGTGACCTTGAATAATCCACAGGCTGACATCCCAATCTACTTACCCTTAATACTTGTGGTGACCTTGAATAATCCACAGGCTGACATCCCAAACTACTTACCCTTAATACTTGTGGTGACCTTGAATAATCTACAGGCTGACATCCCAAACTACTTACCCTTAATACTTGTGGTGACCTTGAATAATCCACAGGCTGACATCCCAAACTACTTACCCTTAATACTTGTGGTGACCTTGAATAATCCACAGGCTGACATCCCAAACTTCTTACCCTTAATACTTGTGGTGACCTTGAATAATCTACAGTCTGATACCAAACTACTTACCCTTAATACTTGTTGTGACCTTGAATAATCTACAGGCTGGCATCCTGGCATCCCAAACTACTTACCATTAATGCTTGTGGTGACCTTGAATAATCCACAGGCTGACATCCTTAACTTCTTACTCTTAATGCTTGTGGTGACCTTGAGTAATCCACAGGCTGGTATCCCAAACAACTTACACTTAATGCTTGTGGTGACCTTGAATAATCCACAGCCTGACATCCCTAACTACTTACCCTTAATGCTTGTGGTGACCTTGAGTAATCCACAGGCTGGCATCCCAAACTATATCCTGCTAACCACCCAGCAAAGTTAAACTGTAAAATAAATAAAAACATTCTCATTTTCAAAGGATCTTTTTAATTAAATAATTACAAACTGGTACAACTTCAATAGTTTACTGAAAAATGTTATAAATCTGATCCACCAATCACATACTAAATCCTTATAAAAAGAGTGTTTAGGTAGTATGGGAGTTTTAAACAAAAAATGTGTAAGGGGTTCCGCAGAACTCTGTGTCTCGCCTGCGATTGCTGCTGTCAGTGTAAAAGTGTAATGTTGACTTAAAAAGTTAGTCCATTTATCAGTAAAATACAGAATTTAAAAAAAAAATCTAAATTTTTCTTTAGATGCTATTACATGGTCTTGAAGTTTAGCTTCTGTCCAAGTTTCATAACAGTCCATGAAGGTTTACAAATTCATCATGTCAAAAAAGTTTAATCCCAGACTGTCTAAATGTTAACTGTATAAAACTAAGTCCATCTATCAGAAAAATATTGAAAATGAAAAAAATATATTTTCCAAAGTTTGATTCAGACATTATCTCTTATTCATAAAAAAGCTTCTGCCAAAGTTTCATAAAATTCTATGAAGGTTTGATAAAGTAATTGATGTGTAACAAAACTTTAACCCCAGACTGTATCTATTTGTTAACTGTGAAAAAAGCTAAGTCCATCAGTAAAATACTGAAAAATGAAATAAATATTTTCAAAATTATGCTCTGGATATTATATATATTTGGTCATAAACAAGCTTCTGTCCAAATTTCCTAAAATTTCATGAAGGTTTGACAAAGTTATTGATGACTGAAAAACATTAACCTCAGACTAAATCTGAAGGTTAACCGTAAAAAATTCTAATATAAAAATAAGGAGATGTGGTATAATTGCCAATGAGACAACTATCCACCAAAGTTCAAATGAAGTGGATGTAAGCAATTATAGGTAGCTGTTCGGCCTTCAACAATGAGAAAAACCCATACCGTATGGTCGGCTATAAAAGGCCCCGACATGAGAAATATGAAACAATTCAATTGAGAAAACTTACAGCCTACTTTATAACAAAACAGTTTTTGAAAAACAAGTATGAAAGACATAAACCAATGACAACCACAGAACTACAGGCTCCTGACTTGGGACAGGCACATAAAGAATGTGGCAGGGTTAAACATGTTTGTGAGCGCTCAACCCTCCCCTAACCTGGGACAGTGGTGTAGCAGTACAACATAAGAACAAAATATAAAAATCAGTTGAAAAAGGCTTAACTCAACAGATGGATACAATTAGAAATACATCTAACAAAAACACAAAGTGGACGTGGACGGGTACTTATACGTTCCAAAAACAAAAAGACACTATTAAGTACATTTCTGAGAATACTCTCAGTTACTGACAGCTAGCTCAAAGCCAATTACCGGTAGTCCATTTATCAGATAAATACGCAGTCTTCACGCTTAACCACAAGTCCTACGGCCATGGCTTGTAAAATTCTCCTCTACAAGCCAACAGAATCCAACTAAAATTTTCAAAATATTGAGCGTCTGGCTTGTGGACTCAAAAGTTAAGCGTGAAGGCTGAATACGGAAAAATGAAAATAAATATTTTCAAAATTTTGCTCTTAATACTGTATTTTGGTCATAAATAAGCTTGTCCAAATTTCCTAAATTTCAATGGAGGTTTAAGAAAGTTATTGATGTCTAAAACAAGAGGCTCTCAAGAGCCTGAATCGCTCACCTGTTATTTTTTTTGCTTAAATCTTTCATCAATGATTATTTTTGCTTTTTACCCATATGTTCCATTTTAGCCATAGTGTCTATGTTTCTTGACATACAAGGAAATGAAATACAAAATTTATACTAGATTCATTTGAGAAGATATTTAAAGTTAAAAAACATAAAACAACTTGTGTAAAATTGTCCTTAAAGGGCAATAACTCCTTAAGGGGTCAATTGACAATTTTGGTCATATAAACTTTTTTGTAGATCTTACTTTGCTGAACATTTTTGCTGTTTACAGTTTATCTTTATATTCAATAATATTCAAGATAATAACCAAAAACTGCCAAATTTCCTTAAAACAACCAATTTAGTGGCAGCAACCCAACAATGGGTTGTTCGGTGTATCTGAAAATTTCAGGGCTGATAGAAATTGACCTTTTGAACAATTTTACCCAATGTCAGATTTGCTTTAAATGCTTTAGTTTCTGAGATATAAGCCAAAAACTGCATTTCACCCCTATGTTCTATTTCTAGCCATGGCGGCCATGTTTGTTGATGGATCAAAATTTCGGATACAATTCATAAACTAGATTCCTAAAGGAACATTCATTCAAAGATAAGAAGTATTAGGCACAAATTAATAGTTTCAGAAGAGAAGATTTTTAAATGTTAGCAAACTTGATGAACACATTGCGTAAAATTGTCTTTAAAGGGCAATAACTCCTTAAGGGGTCAATTGACAAATTTGGTCATTAAACTTTTCTGTAGATCTTACTTTGCTGAACATTATTGCTGTTTACAGTTTATATCTATCTATAATAATATTCAAGATAATAACAAAAAACTGCAAAATTTCCTCAAAACTACCAATTTAGTGGCAGCAACCCAACAATGGGTTGTTCGATTTGTCTGAAAATTTCAGGGCTGATAGATCTTGACCATTGAACAATTTTACCCATGTCAGATTTGCTCTAAACGCTTTAGTTATGGAGATATAAGCCAAAAACAGCATTTGACCCCTATGTTCTATTTTTAGCCATGGCGGCCATGTTTGTTGATGGATTAAAACTTCGGATACAAATTATAAACTAGATATCCTAAGGAACATTTAGATGAAGTTTGAAGGTATTTGGCCCAGTAGTTTCAGAGGAGAAGATTTTTAAATGTTAGCAAACTTGATGAACAAATTGTGTAAAATTGTCTTTAAAGGGCAATAACTCCTTAAGGGGTCAATTGACAATTTTGGTCATATTAACTTTTTTGTAGATCTTACTTTGCTGAACATTATTGCTGTTTACAGTTTATATCTATCTATAATAATATTCAAGATAATAACAAAAAACTGCAAAATTTCCTCAAAACTACCAATTTAGTGGCAGCAACCCAACAATGGGTTGTTCGATTTGTCTGAAAATTTCAGGGCTGATAGATCTTGACCATTGAACAATTTTACCCATGTCAGATTTGCTCTAAACGCTTTAGTTATGGAGATATAAGCCAAAAACAGCATTTGACCCCTATGTTCTATTTTTAGCCATGGCGGCCATGTTTGTTGATGGATTAAAACTTCGGATACAAATTATAAACTAGATATCCTAAGGAACATTTAGATGAAGTTTGAAGGTATTTGGCCCAGTAGTTTCAGAGGAGAAGATTTTTAAATGTTAGCAAACTTGATGAACAAATTGTGTAAAATTGTCTTTAAAGGGCAATAACTCCTTAAGGGGTCAATTGACAATTTTGGTCATATTAACTTTTTTGTAGATCTTACTTTGCTGAACATTATTGCTGTTTACAGTTTATATCTATCTATAATAATATTCAAGATAATAACAAAAAACTGCAAAATTTCCTTAAAACTACCAATTTAGTGGCAGCAACCCAACAATGAGTTGTTCGATTCGTCTGAAAATTTTAGAGCTGATAGATCTTGACCAATTGAACAATTTTACCCCATGTCAGATTTGCTCTAAAAGCTTTAGTTTTTGAGATATAAGCAAAAAACTGCATTTGACCCCTATGTTCTATTTTTAGCCATGGCGGCCATGTTTGTCGATGGATCAAAACTTCGGATACAATTTATAAACTAGATACCCTAATGAACATTTAGTTAAAGTTTGAAGGTATTTGGCCCAGTAGTTTCAGAGGAGAAGATTTTTGAAATAGTTTACAACGATGACGACAGACGATGGACAACGGACGCCAAGTGATGGCATAAGCTCACATGGGGCCCTTTGGGCTCCGGTGAGCTAAAAACTTGAACCACAGACTGAACCTAAATGTTGACGCCACCAACAGAATCTAGGATCGCTATGTCTCGCTTTTGCTACATAAAAATGTTGCAAGCTCAACAAAAATGACAGAATTTGTTCATTCTTTTTCCAAAACGTAGTTTGTATTGTGTGATTTTCTAAAAATATAATAAAAAAATTTCAGGCCACTGATCTTGTTCACTGCTGGTGCAAACTTTAAACATTCTGAAAGGATTATACAGAAAAAAAGCATTACTATGTGAATAAAATGAAAACTTAATGACAGAAGTCTGAAATAAAATATGAGAAGATAATGCTTAAAAGAAAAGGTCACCATACTTTTTTGGTTGCTATAGTACAAAATAAGAAAAAATTACTATACATTCCTTTATAAAAAAAAAATTATTATCCGAGTTATCTTCCATCATAAGACTAGAATAATTTTCTTCATTTTTAAAGAAAAGTCTAACAAATGATTTGCACTCTAAATTTGCTTTTATTTATGATCCAAGATGGCAAACCACCCTTATTATAAAGGGGCATTAGCTACGAGATATAAAAAAAAAAAAATATGATTTTTTTGGTTCAATCATTAAAATCATATGAAACTTCAAATTTAAAATAAAAGTTAACTATGTTTATATATACTTGAATGGCTACATTTTACTCTAAAAGACGTAAACGTGAACTTTAAAAAAAAAAATCCTTTACATTATCAAAATCATCATAAATGTACAGATATTGAATTATTGACTTCCAAGATACTAATTTGCCGATATTTTCCCGTATGCATTGACCTTACTAGGAGACCTCTGGTTATAACTTCTGCCACCGCACAACTCAAGCGTGAGGTGGAAACCGTGATGAAAGAATGTAAACAAACGTGCTCTTGAAGGTAAATAGTAATAGCAGACTCTTAACAAACAAATCTAATACAAAAAATCATTTAACAACTGTTAAGGAATAGTTTAATTAACAAATGGGAACGCATGGAAAATATAAAAAAACAAATGTCATAGCTCTTTCAATTAACTTATCTGTCACGTTTTCTACGTGCTCTGTTTTTATTGTTTTTTAATTATCAAATCAATGATCCGGTAAACTTTGGCAACAAACTCGAAAGTAAATTAGCCTGCGATCAACAACCACTGAATGAAATATTATTTGTCGATAATACTTTATAGATGTGTAATAAATATAAAAAACGTGCATGCAAGACTTAGTTTAGTATATATGCATGCATTGGTTCAATAATTTCGACAAAATTCAAATTTCAAGAAACTAGTTTCATATGACTTTAATTAAAGTGAAATAGTGAAATAATAAATCGCTTTTAACAGCCAATTTGGTTCAAATTGGTCAAAATAAGCTAAGAAACATTGCTGATGAATTATTCCCTTGCAAGTAAATAATTCTACCTCATTGAATCCGTAAATATACTATAATGTAGACTTACTATAAATCATAGGATGCTTATGTGTCTGCTATTATTTTAACTGATGCTCATATTGGAGTCTTTTTGACAGTGTTGATCTATCTTCAGCATGAATATGTGAATAGATTTTGATCAATAAATTTGTCTTCTTATTAATCAATCTGTTTTTATTTTCTTTATAAAGAAGTGATATTTTGTTTCTATGCAAATTTAATATGTCACTGATCTCATCAAGGTTGACAACATGGCATTATAATCATTTTACATTTGTCTATTTAGTACATGAAATGGGGGTAGTTATCCATCTTGAATGTTGGACTGGTTATTTTACACATAATTGAATGGCCTTGATATGTGTAAAAGATGAAGTTTTAAATCTAATATCTAATAAGCAATTAAAGACAATAAGAGGTCTTGATTTCTCACAAGTTGGTTCAGGTCAGATACACAGGGGAAGAATTCAAGTCATTAAAGTGTACAATAGATTAACTTTACCTCTAGATACACAGGGGAAGAATTCAAGTCATTACAGTGTACAATAGATTAACTTTACCTCTAGATACACAGGGGAAGAATTCAAGTCATTACAGTGTACAATAGATTAACTTTACCTCTAGATACACAGGGGAAGAATTCAAGTCATTACAGTGTACAATAGATTAACTTTACCTCTAGATACACATGGGAGGAATTCAAGTCATTACAGTGTACAATAGATTACATTTGTAACTTTACCTCTAGCTCTAGATACACAGGGGAAGAATTCAAGTCATTACAGTGTACAATAGATTAACTTTACCTCTAGATACACAGGGGAAGAATTCAAGTCATTACAGTGTACAATAGATTAACTTTACCTCTAGATACACAGGGGAAGAATTCAAGTCATTACAGTGTACAATAGATTAACTTTACCTCTAGATACACAGGGGAAGAATTCAAGTCATTACAGTGTACAATAGATTAACTTTACCTCTAGATACACAGGGGAAGAATTCAAGTCATTACAGTGTACAATAGATTAACTTTACCTCTAGATACACAGGGGAAGAATTCAAGTCATTACAGTGTACAATAGATTAACTTTACCTCTAGATACACAGGGGAAGAATTCAAGTCATTACAGTGTACAATAGATTTACTTTACCTCTAGATACACAGGGGAAGAATTCAAGTCATTACAGTGTACAATAGATTAACTTTACCTCTAGCTCTAGATACACAGGGGAAGAATTCAAGTCATTACAGTGTACAATAGATTAACTTTACCTCTAGATACACAGGGGAAGAATTCAAGTCATTACAGTGTACAATAGATTAACTGTACCTCTAGATACACAGGGGAAGAATTCAAGTCATTACAGTGTACAATAGATTAACTTTACCTCTAGATACACAGGGGAAGAATTCAAGTCATTACAGTGTACAATAGATTAACTTTACCTCTAGATACACAGGGGAAGAATTCAAGTCATTACAGTGTCCAATAGATTAACTTTACCTCTAGATACACAGGGGAAGAATTCAAGTCATTACAGTGTACAATAGATTAACTTTACCTCTAGAAAACAATATGTTGATAATCCCACCATACCAAGATTATAAACTAACAAAACTTTCTTTAGATCTATTGGTTTTCTATTGGCCATGATGGTTGGTCCCAGCTTTACGATAGCCAGGTATAACAAACATATAACCAAGCTTGGCCATGGTGTTGACATCATAAACCAGCCATCTACTCTAGGATCTGAAACAGTTTCATTTAACTAATACAAATTAACCATATAATATTAATTTTCTTACATGAAATTTGTGTAAAATCTTAATTACTTAAGGTACTTAGATAGTACTAGCGAGAGGTACTTAGATAGTACTAGCGAGAGGTACGTAGATAGTTCTAGCGAGAGGTACTTAGATAGTACTAGCGAGAGTTACTTAGATAGTACTAGGGAGAGGTACTTAGATAGTACTAGCGAGAGATTCTAAGATAGTACTAGCGAGAGGTACTTAGATAGTACCAGCGAGAGGTACTTAGATAGTACTAGCGAGAGGTACTTAGATAGTACTAAGGAGAGGTATGATAGTACTAGCAGAGGTACTTAGATAGTACTAGCAAGAGGTACTTAGATAGTACTAGCATAATCCAGCACTTTCAGGTTGTGCTTCTAGTTTATGGTTTTAAACTTCTAATATTTTGGCCCTTTGGCTTACACATGTTCAAAGAGAAGTATTGTTGAAAACTTAATTTTGAAAACATTGAAAACTTACCTGCTTTCAACATAAGCTCTCCATACATATTCTGTACACTTGTCAATAAATGAGCCATCTTAGATACAACACTTTGTATTTGGACAATTCAATCTATGCTAGATCAGTGTATTCCAGTGCTTAAATCCTATAAAAAAAAAAGTATGGCATAGCTTTATTAAGATTAAATTATAGAAAATTGAGATGATTCCTTCCATGCAAGAAAACCACAGGGAAGTTTTAGTAAGGTTCCAGAACTTCAAAGCCAAATCTAAGATACCTACAAGTAATAGCTTTCCTAAAAAGCTAGCCGTCTTTAGCTGATGAAAGTGGAATTTTTTTTCGCTTTGTAGTTTAATTCATTCAGAATAGCCTTGTATATAAATTGTAGTGGATTATACAAAACTTATAAAAGGCTTATACATTTTTTTAGATTTACCAATATCTTTTTTGGGGGAATGTATTAATACTGGAAACGGAGGGGTAATGTCTTAATCATCTGCGTTTGAACCAAACTTTTGAAAATATTTTTTTTTTATTTTCAGTTTTTTCTGATAGATGGACTTAGTTTTTTACAGTTAACATTTACAGACAGTCTGGTATTAAACTTTTTTGAAATTTTTAAACCTTCATGGATTGTTATGAAACTTGGACATAAGCTAATCTTCAAGACCAGGAAAAAGCATCTAAAGAAAACATTTGAATTTTTTTTTAAATTCTTTATACTCATAAATGGACTCATTTTTTACGTCAACATTACACCTTTACACTGATAGCAGCAATTGCAGGCGAGACACAGGGTTCTGCAGAACCCCTTATGATTTTTTTTGTTATTAAGATATTTTTGTACATGTATTCACAACTATGCTATATATTATAGCTTGACTTGGGAGGATAAAGAACTTAAAATATTGTAATGACATACCCTAAAATTTGCAAAGCATGGGTTGTCCTCAGCTTAATAAAGAATATTTCGATAATTTTTCTTCAAAAAAAATTATGACTTGCTCTGCTTGGCGAAAAATTTATGATTGCGCCCACCCTAACCTAAAATCCAGGATCCGCCCCTGAAGACCGTATATATTGAACTTTAGAAGTAAATTGTTTTGTTTGATGTTTAATTGGGTTGCTTTCTAAATACATTATGTATACTTCACATCTCCTTTTAAATCATGCATAAATATCAAATATTGCTTAAAATATGCTAGCATACATGTATAAATTGCTTTATTGTCTGAGAGTAGTTTTTTTTTATTCTTCTTATATTTCCCTTTGGAATTTTTTTTTGTCTTCTGTTTTTCAACGTCTGCTATCTTGATAGAAAGAGCTAGGGAGAGAAGGACAATGTCCAACCCAACCCACACCCAATCCCCTAAAGATTTTGGGGTATGTCGAAAGGGAGGAGGGCACTTATTATAATGGGTATGTGGAAGGGATGAGCTGCTGGTCGGGAAATTTAGGTGAAATATATAACAAGGTTGATGATTGTGAATCTGAAACTAATCAGATGTCGATATTTTTTTACAGATGCAATTAAAATTCCTGTCGTAAAATGCTTAAGACACTTGCAAAAACTATTCATCTCCCGTTGAAATAGCGTAACAATGATAGCTATATGTAGGTATAATTATTGTAAAAAAATATGATAGCTAGGGTATGTTCTTTTGTTATTCAAGATATATGAAAAGGGCGGGGTATTGGATGTCTCAGCTAGTCACCCCTACCGTTAAAAAGGTCGAAGTGCCGCAGCCCCCTTAGATGAGATATAAAGATTCCATTTCTATGTTTTTTCTGCCTTTTGATTATCTTACTAAGAATTAATATCTATAACTTAAAAAAAAAAGCATGCACGGTGTTTTCCTATGTTTTCATGTATAAAATGTTTGTAACTTGGCAGTGAGCGACTGGATTGAATGTGAAATAATCACGTGCGTGTTTACAAAATTTTAGGAGAATCGGCTATTTATAGATAAGTGTTACCTGTGTACCGATATGCATGACTGGTAACCAGACAAAATCTAATTGCTAAAATAAAGAGTTAAAATCTGAAACTCTATGGGATTAACAGACATTTACTAGGTTATGATTGTCCCAACCAATCAACGAACTTCACTATGTTAGAGTCAGTAATTATCTTCCAATCAGATAGTAAGAAGCATTTAGCCCGCAGACTGTGCATCGTTCTACTCTTAAGACCGTCTCCAAGGAGACGGTAATAAGTCTGTGTAAAGTGCAGTCAGGTTTAACAAGTCAGTGCTTAAAATTCTATTTGTGGAAAGATTTATCATGTTTATGTCTTTGCTGACAAGTCTATTTGTGGAAAGGTTTATGTCTTTGCTGACAAGTTAATTTGTGGAATGGTTCATGTCTTTGCTGACAAGTCTATTTGTGGAAAGGTTTATGTCTTTGCTGACAAGTCTATTTGTGGAAAGGTTTATGTCTTTGCTGACAAGTCAATTTGTGGAAAGGTTTATGTCTTTGATGACAAGTCTATTTGTGGAAAGGTTTATGTCTTTGCTGACAAGTCAATTTGTGGAAAGGTTTATGTCTTTGCTGACAAGTCTATTCGTGGAAAGGTTTATGTCTTTGCTGACAAGTCAATTTGTGGAAATGTTCATGTCTTTGCTGACAAGTCTATTTGTGGAAAGGTTTATGTCTTTGCTGACAAGTCAATTTGTGGAAAGGTTTATGTCTTTGCTGACAAGTCTATTTGTGGAAAGGTTTATGTCTTTGCTGACAAGTCTATTTGTGGAAATGTTCATGTCTTTGCTGACAAGTCTATTTGTGGAAATGTTTATGTCTTTGCTGACAAGTTAATTTGTGGAATGGTTTATGTCTTTGCTGACAAGTCTATTTGTGAAAAGGTTTATGTCTTTGCTGACAAGTCTATTTGTGGAAATGTTCATGTCTTTGCTGACAAGTCTATTTGTGGAAATGTTTATGTCTTTGCTGACAAGTTAATTTGTGGAATGGTTTATGTCTTTGCTGACAAGTCTATTTGTGAAAAGGTTTATGTCTTTGTTGACATGTCTATTTGTGGAATGGTTCATGTCTTTGCTGACATGTCTAATTGTGGAAAGGTTTATGTCTTTGCTGATATGTTTATTTGTGGAAAAGCTTATGTCTTTGTTTACATGTTTATTTGTTGAAAAGCTTATGTCTTTGTTGACATGTCTACTTGTGGAAAGATTTATGTCTTTGTTGACATGTCAAGTAATTGCATGATTCAATAAAAGATCTTGTTCTTTTTTGAACATGTTCAATGGATTTTTTAACTGATTTGATTGGTTTAATGGTTGTTGGTGTTTAACACAACTTTTAGTCATATTGGCTATATCCTGGCAGTCAGCTTCTATTGGTGGAGGAAGATGGAATGGGGTTTGAATTCACAACCCTAGAGTTGACAGGCTTTGAAACGAAGTCTTTGATAATAATAATGTATTAGGTTATTACAAATTTAAGGATGTACAAAAGTTCAAATTTCACAAATTTCACACTGGTCAGTTATTGTATATAGATTCAATGTTTACGTGTACGAATTCTGGTGGTAAGGAATTGTCCTCTCCTACCCAAGGAGGGGGAAGTCTGGTGGAATCCCATGTTCTACTTTTTTCTTAGTCTTTTATATTGTTAAATCTTCCTTGTTCATGTTGTTCTTTACAGTACAAAAATGTGGCTATTGTAATGACGATCACACCTAACCCTGTTGATAACCTTCTCCTCAATTTTGAAAATCTACATATCTTTCAATTCCCCTTTAATTGTTCAACTTGTCAATTAAAGTATCCATAGGGATTTGTTTAAATGCCATTAGTTTACTTTGTTGTACTAGAATCTTTTAGAGGACTTTTTTTTATATTCTTATGAAACAAAACGATCTCCTTTAAATGATGAACTGTCTGATTAGACCAAAAAGAAAAAGTGTCATAAAAAATGCATTCACAAAAAAATACCAAACTACATGTATATAACTGCTTCATTTTGAGGAATCCTACATATAACCATGGAAGTATTATATTGACAGGAACTACAATGATTTATTAGCACTTATTTATAACCCGGGGAGTGCTGTAGAAAAGATATGGAAACTGTCTAATTAGTACGCTATCATTAATTTCCTTTTGTGACTATCTGCGATGCCACTGTCATAAATTGACCAGAGATACTTCTTATCAATCACTTGGTTTTTATCCAGAAACGTTAACACCAATACCTGTCAGAAAACACCTTTGCTTATTTCAATCACGACGTTTGATCTTTAATCATAAACAAATTATTTAAACAAATCGACTGATGCATAAAATATGAAAATCGGCCCAGAATTATTTATACTACAACCTTTTAAAGCAGTAAGTGACATTATTTTATTTCTTCAGGGTTAAGTTAAAACCGTCATAATGCATGTTCCGGTTTCTGCCATGTCACGAAAATGATCCTGATATAAATATACACTGTGACAAATCGATTAATATATATATAGTAAAGAGCCTGGATTAGCCTGGAAAGTAGAAATTTTCAGTTTTATATGCGAAAATTAATCAAACAAGGGCTGAAAAACATAGGATTTATATATAACAAATATAGTAAAAAATGACGCACCTCGTTATTTATATATATGTGCTTTTTAATTTTTTGACATTTGATTCAAAACAGCTAAAATATTCGTATATGAAATAATTTTGTCCGATAATATACAGCCGGGGTCAGTATTTCTATTTGTACATTTATGAATATGCCAATCATTACTTGTGATTTGACCTTTATTTATCAATTTGAGAAAAAACGAAGACATATAAAATGTTATGGAATGGCTAAACTATCTCTATCTTATAAAATACTTTATCACTTTCTGTCCAAATGATACTAGTAAATATTACCATAATTCAACACACTGGGGCTCAGCGGAAACATTCTTATACCAACCAATGAATTATGATCTTACCCTGGATGTAAAGCGAAGCCTTATAATTCTAACATATTTGAAATCTCTATGATATTTTGTTTATTGTAATCAGAACAATCAGTTTTCAATTGTCTTAAAATATGCATGAAATGTATGCCACTGGACGTTAAACAAACAGTAACTAATCACAACTTGCGATATATACATAGTGTAATTTCTACAGAAAAAAAAAATCAATAAACATGGTTTTAATTATTCAATTAATATGGTACAAGTTTCCATCGTCAATGCGTTTTTTCAAGAATTTTTAATAATGTCTTGCACATATCAATCAGCACACATAGGCAGATGTAGGGTAACGGAGGTTTGCCGATTGCTGTTTCCTTAGAATTTATGACAACTTTTGATTTCTTTGTTTATTTCTGTAATCACGAAAGCAACCAAGAATGAGAATATTGTAGGGTGCCACATGCTGATGTGTAAATAACGTACCATGTTTCAAATTAATTAACATGTCATTAAATTGCGCGCGGCATCGCAAATAAAATGTTTGAAGTCGGGTCGTAGTATTTCATGTCAATATAATACTTCCATGATATAACAATAATATGTATTTATTCATACAAGACTAAGATATACATGTATATCATGTTAATACATAAATTTACAATCTAAAAAGATAATTCAAACATTCATCTAACCCTCCACTTCCAAGCAGAAAACAGCCCAAGGCCACCAATAGGTCTTCAACACAGCGAGAAAATCCCACACCCGGAGGCAGGCTTCAGCTGATCCCTAAACAAAAATGTGTACTAGTTCAGTGAAAATGGACCTCACACTAAACTCCGAAACATATAAATGAACTAAAATTGAAAAAACATACAAGACTAACAAAGGCCAAGAGGCTCCTGACTTGGGGCAGGCGCAAAAATGAGGCGGGGTTAAACATGTTTTGTGAGATCTCAACCCTCCCCCTATACCTCTGGCCAATGTAGAATACAAAAACACACGGCAATACCTACAGTAAAACTGACAGCTTAAAAGAAGTCTTGAGTCTGACTTCAGAATAGGTAACAGAAGAAACTAAGCAAAATGACAATGATACATTGTATATAAATTAACAAAGGATTATATGTATGTTTATATTTGTCCCCTTTTTTAAATGCGGGAGCAATGTTGGCATGCTTCCAATCTTTTGGTGTTTCACCTGACTCTAATGACTTACTGAATATTAATGTAAGTATTGGTGACACTTGCTCTTTTAATTCTTTTAGTACTCTACCGTTTATATTGTCAGGTCCACATGCTTTGTGTGGGTTAAGATTTGATTGTAACTTTTTGACTCCTATTTTGCTAATAGATATTTGTGGCATTTCAAGATGTGGGCTAGTACCTTTGTCTGGGATATTTGTGTTAGATTCATTTGCGAAGACCGATTGAAATTGATGGTTTAGGATGTTTGCTGTTTCTTCTGTTTCAGTGATTAGTATACCGTCCTTTTTTAAAGGTGCAATCCCTGTACTATCTGTTCTTGTGCTTTTTTATTAATATAGCTGAATAAGACTTATCAGAACTATTTTATACAAAAAAGTTTCAACAAAAATACAGAACTACCATGACTACAAGGTAAATTCAAAAAGAGGAAGCCCATGAAAACTGACAAAATAAAATGTTAAAACTTTATAAATATAATCCTCGCTTGGTCATGTTGGTACAGGCATTTTTCACAACACAATTTTAACCAAAGTATTTAGATATTCATTGTTGTATCTTTTCTCTTATTTCAGACTTATGCATTGTTTGTTCATTCTTGCTTTGTCATTTTAAAACAAGGAGATCTGGTATGACTGCCGATGAGATAACGTACCTTAATGAATGTTTTGATTACTAATACACTGTTTTAAATTATGAACTGTTTACAATGTAGGCTTAACCTATTTTTATCATTTTCATTTTGTTTATTTTGGATACCGTGCAGCGTATCTAACGTTAGTGTAGTCTAATTCACAACAGAAGAACTTAACTCTTTTATGATAATGTTAATTTAAACGTTTGAGATACTACTCATGAGCTTTCGTCAATTTACCTACAGCAGACAGTTTCAGGTGAGATGAAGGTCCCAGAGTTACAAACTAGGAGCACGCCGGACTTCAGCTTCCGGTACCAGGATCACACCCGAGAGGAAACGCCTTGATGAATAATTCTAGAGATGTAACGAAAAATTAACGCGGGAATTTTTAAAAACTTAGCAATACGGATGCGAATAAAAGTACTTTATATAATCATTCTTTATCAGCTGAGGGCTTCGGTACATATTAGGGGGAGGGGTCATTACCAAAAATATCATACAGCTGGGGGTTGCCATCAACATTCTTATTTATAATAATAATAATAAATAAATACTGTATTTAAAGAGGGTTAAATCAGAGACATATAATACAATTTTAGTATTATTCTCCCCTGATGCCCTCTGAATAACTCAAAATATAATAATATAATATATACATATACATACATGCAACTTTTAATGCAAAACAAATGGTGAAAAACATACAGATTTTAAGTGTTACGTTTCATGAACATATTTTCTTATTGATGTACAAGACAAATATATGGATTTTTAGACTATAGATAAATTTCTGTGATAATCATTATTTGGTTGGTTTTACATATTGTATATGAATCTGATAATTAGCTTTTTTGTTCTAAAAACAAGAAATTATGATACCTTTGTTTGAACTGTTTTATCTGTTCTATCTTTTTTATTTCTACAGGAATACTGTTCCAAAGAACAGTACCGGAATATTGAAATGTCTTTTTCATGAAATTTATCCTCGGACGTGGTATGAAAAGACAATTTTAGGGGGGAGGGGGTCACACAATGAAAGTTTTTATGTCTGACAAATATATAAATTGTTGATGATATAGAAGTGAGTGTGCAAACTCTTAAATAATTTCTGTCATTATTAAATCTTAGTGTACAGCACCAGCAAAGCTATCCTAATTTGGTATTATTGTTATGAGTTTGGTGTAAAGTAAAATACAAGTAGCTAGCTTGGTAGGAGTAAAACAATGAAGATTTTAAATAAAAAAGATGAAAGATAATTATTCACTTTATTTTAAAACAATAAAAAAACTTATCATTTTTTATTTTAATAGCAACACTGACTTACTGTTTGTTTTTCGTAAATTGTTTTGTTATAGATTAGGCCGTTAGTTTTCTCTATTGAATTATTTCATATTTTTCATGTCGGGGCCTTTTATAGCCGACCATACGGTATGGGGTTTTCTCATTGTTGAAGGCCGTACGGTTACCTATAATTGCTTACATCCACTTCATTTGAACTTTGGTGGATACTTGTCTCATTGGCAATCATACCACATCTACTTATAACTAAAGCATGATTTAAAACTTATTCAACACAAAACCTTTATAAAAGGGTGCGAACGTGTCGGATGCAAAAGGGGGCGAAAGAGAATGGGAACGAACGTGATTTTGGGAGAACGGACCCGGACTCCTCAAGGGTAGTGAATCGATCACCCCTTTTCACAGTCATCTAGCTGCTAAGGTTCATTATCCCATGGAAGCTTCCATGGTTATCCATAGGATGTGAAAATTTACAAGCCGACTTATCTTAAGAGTAACAACTGTATGAAACATTTGTCCGTAGTTTTGACCACAGGAAACAATGAGTTGGAAAAGTTTCTGAACAAGTGTATTTCAACTTTCTAAAGTGTTAAAATCATTTTGATGCGATTTCTTGGGATAGATGTAGGACTGTAAAAGGTGTGTACATTCTAAAATTATTTTTAAAGGGGTATAATATTATATGAATATAAAAAGATATTGAATAAGAAAAAGAATATTTAATGTTCCAATTAAGGGCCCTTGTTGGGCAGCATGGCATTCACACACACAAAACAATACACTGGGGTTTCGTAAAACAGTTTCACATTGAAATAAAATATTGAATGTTCATATATATATAAACCTACATATATATATATTTTCTTTATTTCAAATAAATCATGTACATATTTGATCCAGGAAGGACCAGAACCATAAAATCAGATGATATTTGCAATGTGTTATTTTCAGGTGCACTTCCTAGAGTGGTATTGAAATAAGAAATAACTATATGATGAGAAAAATTTAAATCCACGAAATATTTATAAAACATCAAAACTTACATCAGTAAGTCTTACTATACAAATCCTTGGTTATACTCAGGGTTTTCTGCAGAATAAAACTGAAAAATGTTTACTAAAATCAGTTGCATCAGCTTAAACAAAAAAAATATGGACATGATGAAACATCAAGGCAATATAATATTTACAGAATATCATTTACTAATCACTAATAACCAGACAAACTAAGTTTTCTTTCAAATTAATTAGTTCAAGCTACTTATATACTTTGTCAAGTCAATGCCTGTAACTATGTAGTTTGTAGTCATCATTTTCTCCCAACTGTTAATCAATAGGGATTTTTGTTTGGGGGGTCAAACTTTTGAAAATATGTTCTAAGGGGGTCATTATGTGGTTCATAAGAATTATGGGGATGAGGGTTGGGGGGTGGGGGGTAGTGCCAATAAAACTTTTTAATGTGAAGAATTTGAACCGACCCCCTCAGCTGATAAATAATGACAGTTCCCTAAGGGACAATGTCACATGTTACATATAATAATTACAAATAGACGTAAGTAAAGAAACAATAATGATAATGCTTATAATGGTATGTATTTAACTATAGTAGTTGTTTTCTTATTGTAAAACATAATTTATAACAAATAATAAAGCCACATGCAGGGTTGCATAAATGGCTCAATCTTGAATTTTCTCAAAAAGATCATTCGGACCCTCGACCAAGGAAGATGTGCAGTTATGCTTTTAACAGTGCTGCATATGATTGCTTTAATAGCTATTTAACATTTGTTTGCTTGTATGGTAGTATCAGAGACATATAATACTATTGTCTATGATAGTATATAACTATTTTTCGCACTGAGATTACAGGCTATAACACATAGTATATGTGCGGTATAGTAGTCTCAGTTTTGCATGCTCATGTATTATGCTTTGTGTGTCTGTCATATCTTATTTGTGTATATAACCTATGTCTTTTGTTTGTCAATGTTGGTTTTAAAGCTCTTTAGTGCTTAATTGTGTTGTCTATGTTATAAACATGTTCTACTTTTAATAAAGCTTTTTCAAGTCTGTTTTATTCTACATGAATGACATATTATACCGGTCGGCTTACTATCGATTTTTTTTGCAGATGATGCAATAGCATATTTGCTAATAAAATCAAATAGTGACTGCAAAACCCTTCAAAACAATCTTGATGAACTAGGAATTTGGGAAAACATGGGAAATGGCCCTTCAACCTGACAAGTGTAATGTCCATATCAGCATCATCAATTATATAATATCTCAAGCCAAAGTGTACTGCCTATTTAGACAGTTCATAGGCAGTTAAGAACGTGTCCAATCCCTAAACATGTCTAGTTCGCCCAATCATGTCAACAAAATCATATATCTAGCATGCAATACATGTCTAATTTCTTTTCCCCCAAATGTTTAAGCATACGCATAAGATATTTATTTAAAGTTGGGTATACATATAACAATACAACATAAGCTCTGTAGAGCTTTTTGACCGACATACGTAATGTGTCCGATTTCTTCCTCCCCAAACGCGCTCGACAATGTTATCGGCCATAATATGTCCATTTTAGTCCATAGTATATAATTATTATTTCGCACTGAGAGTACAGGCTATAACACATAGTATATTAATGTTAATTTATGTATCATTGTCATTATGCTTAGTTTATTCTGTTACTTATTCTACTGTGCGTATATATTGCTGAGTGTTTGTTTATTGTACATTGGCTAGAGGTATAGGGAGAGGGTTGAGATCTCACAAAACATGTTTAACCCCGCCGCATTTTTGCGCCTGTCCCAAGTCAGGAGCCTCTGGGCTTTGTTAGTTTTGTATGTTTTTTTTTAATTTTAGATCATTTATATGTTTCGGAGTTTAGCAGGGGCGGATCCAGGATTTTGGAAAGGGGGGGCGTAGTAATAAAGTTCGCCGAGCGGAGCGAGGCGAAAAAAATTTTTGGACCTTTTTTTGGCTAAAAAACATAAAATAAGTGTAAAATGCATTTTATAGTTATAGTGTAGGGGTTGGACATTTTTGGTGCCGTATTCTCTCCACCAATTGTCTATTATGAAATGATTGGATGGATCCAAAGCTATGTACTAATTAATATATTTGATGTGGGATTTGTCAGTAAAAAATGGACATGGAAAATTATCGTTTGTTGTATGGTTAGTTAGCATAACCTCACAGATTTCTTGTTGTAAACAAGATATACGGCTATTCAATGAAATTTACAATACGACCGACACGAAGAAAGACAAACAAGCAATTTTCATCCAAATGTTTGGTTGAAATGTTTTACCCAACAAGGGAAGTGAGGGGTTCCAAATCAACCAAAGGCTACGAATTAGTCGGAAATGACAATGAAGTTGTGAATGACGGTCGACACATGGAGACATATAGGCCACACCCAGCAGGCAGGTTGCAGTCGGGCCTTGAAAAAGTATTCAGTATATCAGTTCGGCGAAACAGACATTCCGGTCAGATATGGGATTCACATGCAACCCCCAAAAAAAAAAGTTACGCCCGTTTTTTATTCATCATGTTCATTTAATGCTAAATAATTCTGTTGAAAATATTTTTTTCTAATAGCAAAAAAGTGGACAAGATTATTGTTGTCAATCCAGATACGGCCAGAATTTTTGTTTAAGGCAAAAATCAGGGTCAGAATTTTTTCTCTTAAAAATCTCAGACTGCCCCCTCAGATCAAATGGTCCGTACCTTAGACTTTAAATCTATATCTATAGCTTACTGACTGGGGATCACTATTCAGCAATGTTATTAATGGGCTGGGGCGTGTGGGGTTAAACATGTTTTCGTAGGTAAATAATATTGCTGTGGAACTTTTTTTTCATGAGAGTGTAATAGAGTATTACTTTCTGTTGGGTGGAATTGTGAAATAGAATTCAATACGTTCTTGCTCAATACTTTGTCGCTTTGAAGGCGTCGTGCTTGTCATCCTCAGCCTAAGCAATGTGTTACTGTGATTTGAATTTCAAAATGACT